TCGCGGGGCCTGTGACAGCAACAGCCCCGGGGGGTCGGGGGTCCTTACCCTGACAGCGGGGAGCACTGCTTCCCTCGCTGATCCTGGAGGACGCCTCCGGGGGCTGGCGCAGGGGCAGGTGGAGTGGGGAGCGCACCTCGAGTGGGGACCGAGGGGCAGATCCTCCCAGCCCCACCTCTTCTCGGCCCTTTCGTGCCAGGCTGGAGAGTGCGGGGCCCAGTAGGAAGGGACTCCAGAAATGTGATTTCCCCAACACTTCTCTCCAGCCCAGATGTGCTCATTTCTCCCCTGCCCCCCAGCCTCAGCAGGGGGAGCTTGGCAGGCCGGTTGGGGGCTGCCCCTGGGGCGAGGGGGCTGCAGGGCCCTAGGGAAGGGGCTGGGAAGTGGGGCTGGGAAAGGCTCCTCTCCACTGGGCAGGGGTGACGGGAGCCTCCAGCGCATGGAGAGTGCCCCGTGTTTCCTCCGCTGCGCAGAGCCCCGGGGGAGCCGTTCCCCGAGGGCCTGGCTGGCTCGGCAGGGAGCAGGCCGCACGTCTCGTCCCCTGCCTGGCACGGGTCTGTCTCCTCCAGTGTGGCTCTTGCAGGGCCAGTGACACTGCGGTCTCCTGCTCCCCTGCCTCAGCTTGCGCCCTGCTCCGGGACCACAGGTTCCCACCCCAAGCTCACGCTTGCACTTGTGCAGCCCTGGTGTGGCTAGAGCCCACCCCGATGGGCGAGTCCCCCACAGCCCTTGGGCAGAGCCATGCCCCAGACTTGTCCCCACAGCAGGGATGGGGGTTGGGGCACCACCGCGAGGGGCAGGCCCTGACCCCAGTGCTGCAGGAGGGTCTCCAGGCCCCTCCGTGACCTCCAGTCCAGATGACTGTTCTGCCCTGGCTGAGCCCTTTTGGGCATGCAGTGCTGGTCAGATCCAGCAACCCACACCCTGGGCTGTCTGCAGCCTGGACCTGGGGCATGTGCATGCCCTGTTTCACCGCCAGCAGCAGCAGCCAGCGTCCCTGCTGGGTGGGCTCATCTCCAGTGTCACTGTTCCCTGTAGGAAGGTGGGAGCCAGAAGTAGGGATCTGCTTCCACCAGCTGTTTGTGCGGGTGGGGCTGTGCAGGGCAGGGAGAGGGGCTGCAGCCAGGTCTGCTGTGCCCTGACTGATGGGGCACAGCGGGGGCTGGGGGGCAGGACCAGCCTGTGTTGCACCATTGCTGGTGTGTGGACTGTGGCTGGGGAATGAGGTAGGTGAGAAGGGGCAGAGGCAGCAGTGGGGAAGCACCACACAGTGGCACCCCCAAGGGCACTGGCTGCTGGGACACCCACATCTCCAGCTCAGTGTGATCGGATCCCTGCCCCTAGACCAGGCCCCAGAGACCTCCAGTCATGGGCTCAAGCAGAGCCGTTCCCTGTCATCAGCGAGAGCGGCAGCCATGCTGCCCTCCAGGCTCCTACCTGCTGCACCTGCCCAGCCAGCCCCCGCTGTCCACCTTCCCCTGCCCATCAGCCAGCCCCTCACAGGGCCTGCCGCTCCCTCCATGGAGCTGTGTGCGGCTGGCTCTGCTCCTGCTGGGAGCCTCTTGGTGCCCCCACTTCACTCCCCTGCCACACTCAGCCTCGCAGAGTTGGAGGGGCTCAGGCCGTGCTTCCTGCCCTGCCTCGTTGGTAGAGCCCTGTGGGGATCTCAGCCTGGTCTGTCTCTTGGCAAGGCCTGTGGGGCAGGGACCGGGCTGGAGCAGTAAGACCATGTCCAGAGCAGCCTCCTTCCTGGGGAGGAGGACACAGAAAAGCCCCTGTGACAAGCAGGAGGGTCCCTGCTTCCAGCCGCCCTGGAGTAGTGACACAGGAGCGCGGCTCGCGCCAGGGCAGGCGGCTTGTCCTACCGTCCCTCTAGGAAGCGCCCCCTGGCAGGGGCCACTCCAAAGAGACTCCAGGGGCAGGTCAGGGCTGGGAGCACTGGCTGCCCCACTTCTTCCACCAGAGTCTTGCTGGAGCAGGAGCTGCCTTGGGCTGTGCATGCCCAGCCCCCACCACAGGGCTTCCCCTTCAGCCACTTCCCAGGGGGTTTCCCATCCCTCGGCTGGGTCTGAGTGCAGGGTTGGGCAGAGCCTGGATGTGGTGGGCACTGCCCTCTCTATAGCCTGGGCCATAGTCCCCTCCCAAGGGACTGGCCAGGGCCTCGGTGCTGGGCTTGGAGATAGCCCGGCCCTGGGGGCTGGACCTCCTCTTCAGTTGGTACCCCGAGCTCCAGTGTGAGCTCCCTCCGCCACACCAGCAACAGGAGCCAGTGCCTAGGGCAGGGAGAGGAAGGACAGCAGGGAGGGGTGCAGGGCCCAGCCCATGGCCTCCAAGCTGCCTCCCTTCCTTCCAGCCCACAGCCTTGCAGGGGAAGCAGATACCCCTGTGAAGGCACTGGCACCCAGGAGAGCTGGGCCAAGCTCTCCATGGAGCTTGTTAGGGCTCATTTCCCAGCCCTGCACATCCTGGAGAAGGAGGCACGAATTGGGAGCTGCAGGAAGCCTTTGTGCCTGCCAGGGCAGAGGGATGTTTCTGGGAGTAGGGGCCCAGGAGCAGGGAGAGCAGACACCTGCTGCCATGCTCTGTGACTGCGAGGGTGGGCTTCAGTTCTGCTAGGATCCAGCTCGGTGAACAGTGCTGCATAGGGTCAGCTCCCCCAGGACCAGCCCGCAGCTCCTTTTCCTCGCTGTGACCTGCAGTGGTGGTGGAGGGGACAGGAGAGCCCAGAGCTGGGCCATGTCACAGGGCCCAGCCTGAAATGTGTTCCCTTCCCTTGCTGGGATTGGGGCATCAGGAGGACACGGCTGCATGACCAGGGGCAGACGCTGTGCCAATGCCACCCTCTGTGAGGTCTGCCACAGACCTCCCGGGATCCTTGGGGCTGTGTAGCAACACTGAGAAGTCCCACCATGTACCCTTGCCCTGTCCAGGCAGCACGGACCTGGATGGATGCTCCGAGGGGCTGTCCCCACTCTCCTGCAGGACATGCTTTAGTTGGGGCCTGGCTCAGAGGTCTTCCTGATGGCACCTGTGCTCCCAGTACCATCCTGGTTCTCTCTGGTATGCAACAGGAGCCAGGGCCTGCAGGGAGCTGCCTGTTAGTGCCTGTGGGCTGTGTCCGGAAGGCAGGGGCAAGGCTAGTGTGACCTTCCCCTCTGCCACTCCCAGCTCACGGCCCCTTTGTCCAGCAGGGGGTTATTTGGGAACCGATGGATGAAGCATGGTTATAGCTGGGAGTTGAAACTGAGTCCTGCTACGCTAGTCTTTCTGAGGAGCTTAAGCTGGAAATACAGTGGCAAGACTGACTGACTGCGGGCACGGTCCCCAGCGGGTTGCCTGGCGGAAGGGGAAGTGCAGGCTTAAAAAAGATGGTAATGTCCAGGGCAAAAAGGGGTGGCCCAGTTCTCCTAGAGCAAGGATGAGCTCATCAGAGGTTCCCTTGGAAAGGGGCAGAAACCAGGGGTGAACTTACCTTGCTGGCTTGGAGATGCGGGCAGGCATTCAAGTGATCAAGCCTGGGGAAGCAGCAAAAAGAAAAATCCTGTAATGTACGCTGGGATGCTGCGGCCTGGGGACTCTGTGACCTGCAAGAGACAGAAAAGGTGGTCCTCCTGGGCAGATGGACTGTGAGTAAGGAGTGAAGCTCCAGAGGGGAGAACACCCCCTTAACGGAGACCACTCTTGTCTTTTACCTGGGAGTTTCAAACCCCGACGCGGGTGAGAGAACAGCCTAAGAACTCAACAGGGCTGCACGGGAACTCAAATCGCCGCTACCGTCAGCTTGAAAAAGCAGGTTTTGAGCCATGTAGGGGCAAGAACCAAGCCTACAGCCCTACGACGGGGGTATCCGCAGAGGTTACAGAGACCGGTGGGATTGATGGCAGACTGGCAGGGTGCTGCCTTTGCTTTTGCATGATATAACATGGTCGGGAAACAGAGGGACCGCTGATGCTGTGAAATGTAAGATGGGACAGTCGATTGAGACTGCCTGAGAGGGGAAGCTGGCTGAGAATACCCCTTCATTCCCTTGAGGCAATATCCATCTGATTTCTTTAGTGGATGAAGATCTGGGTAGTGATGCAAGGATTGAGAACTTATAACCCAACCTGGATATCTGACTGATGTTTTAAGTGGAAGGAGTGAGGGACTGTGATGCTTTGTTAGTGGTGTACAACCAATGTTCCCTTTAAGGAGTAGCGGTCTGTGAGCACACCGCTTCAGTCCAGCCTCCCCCTTTCGGCACTGTCCGCCAGTAAGAGTCCTACAATAAGTGTCCAGGTGGGAGCAGGCAAGGTTTGGCCACCACCCTTCTCCATGCGAACTGCTGCCCAGAGGAGCGTAGTGGAGTGCTGTGGGGCAGCCATGGGCCGGACACAATCAATTGATAGAACTGAAAGGGAGTCACCGGGGCCGGCACGGGACACTTACCGAAGGTAAGCTCCTCACTCCTCATGCGGGGCAGGCAGCGGCTCTTCCCTAAGGTGAGTCATGGCTGGGCTGGGGGCTGGGCCTGGGGGCTGGCCCAGGCTCTTCCGGCTCCGGGGATCTGCTCCACTCCCCAGCCTCCTCGCTCCCCAAGGGAATGTGGGGGTGCGGAGCAGTTCCCCTTGCCAGCCCCCGTCCCTGCCCCCGCCTCAAGGAGAGCCACTGCCTGCCCTGCATGAGGAATGAGGAGCTTGCCTTCGCTAAGTGTCCCACACCGGCCCCAGTG